TCTGAGACTATGCCGTCTGGTCCTAGACTCTCCCATGAGAAGAAACATCCTCTCAGCATTTACCCTGTCAAGCCCCTTGAGAATCCAATATGTTTCAATGAGATCACCTCTCATTCTTCTAAACTGCAGTGAGTAGAGTCCTAACCTGTTTAGCATTTGGTCATAAGACAATTCCTGGTATGAAGGGACTATCCTAGTGAACCTTCTCTTCTGGGTGACCTGGCCAATATTTATTTCTTAAATAAAAAGAAAACTTACCTAGTCATTACCCCAGTGCTGTTTTTTCTTTTGAGACTTTACTATTGAATACTGTCTCTTACATTACACAGGAGAACACTTTTTCTGTCTGTCTCAAAGGGTCAAGGGCCTGTGCAGTTCCTTCCCTAGAGAGTTGTGGAGGCTGTGTCATTGAATATTTTTCGGGTGTAGGTAGATGGATTCTTAACTAACGGGTTACCGCAGCGAGTGGAAATATGAAGTTAAAGCCATATTCAGATTAACTGTGATCCTACTGAATGGTGGAGCAGGTTCAATGGGCCGAATGGCCTACTCCTACTCTCAATTTGAATGTTGGCATGTTTATGATTGCAATTTAAAGCCGATCTAAGTATTTTTGAAATGCTTTGAATCATTGTGAAGGAATAAAAGATATTTCCATAGTGTCATGTTTTAAGAAAAAAGAAAGAAATATATTAGATGGATCTGTCTTTTTCTGATACTGGTTCAATAAACAAGGGTAGGCTGCTTTCAATGTTCTGTGGAAGTGAGTGAGGGGTTTTGAGCTTGAATCTGTTCTGCTAAATAAATGTAACACTTCCGTCTAAGCATCAACATGAGCTTTTGACTTGAACATCTGAAAGAAAAGAATTAGTATGGTAACTATGGAAACAAAAATCTGGGCTTAATCCACCGCCCACGGAAATCTGCAACTGATATAAAAATAGAGCCTGTGACAATTCTTGCAATGTACTTGGGCAGAAAAGTCCAAAACTTTTCACAAAGGGTTAATTCTTTCTTGCAAATATTTTCCATTCCTAGATGGAAGTACAGAGTAATACTGTGCCTGGTGTAGGCGATGTGTGTAGGCCGAAGCCCGTGATTATAGCCACAGGAACTGGGTTTCTTCACAATGTGCAAAGCGTTCATGTGAACTATGTCTCGCTGTACATCACCTGATCTTATCCTCAAAGTGCAGCTGAGCCCTAAGTCAACGATTGTCTCTAAAGTTTTGCCACAAGCCACCGTCCCACAATCGCGCTTGCGGACTATTCTTGACATTGTTGTAACCTGCTGGCTAGTGAACTGATAAGGCCAAAGTCTATGCTAAGAACTGCTTTTACTCGCTGTACAGCCAATGGGATCAGCCCATTGTTTGTTAATTCTCCTGTTGCCATCTTGCGAAATTCATTGCTCATCTTGGATCTTATTGTTTTCCGATTATATAGAAACTAGGAGCAGGAGTAGGATACCACAGGCTTCACTACCCTTTGAATGAAGAAATGTTTTTCCTCATCTTAGTCCTGAATTGCAAACCATGTATCGTGAGAGTGTACCTCTGTTCTGTTCTAGACTCCCCATTGAGGGGGAGTATCCTCCTGGATCGAGTCTGTCCAGCTTTGTTTGAGAGGGGATGGAATTGAATCCTTACTCAGACTAGTAAGGACACAGGCAAAACAGGTAGCATCTACTGAAGGTGATTGCCTAATCGTATTATGGCTAGACTAGTAATCCAGAAACTCAGCTAATGTTCTGGGGATCTCAGTTCAAATCCTGCCATGGCAGATGGTGGAATTTGGATCTGGAATTAAGGGTCTAATATGACCATGAAGCTATTGTCGATTGCTGGAAAATCCCATCTGGTTCACTAATGTCTTTTAGGGAAGGAAATTGCTATCCTTACCTGGTATGGCCTAAATGTGACTCCAGACCCACAGCAATGTGGTTGACTCTTAACTGCTCTCTGGGCAATTAGGGATGGGCAATAAATACTGGCCTAGCCAGAGATGCCTACCTCCTGTGAGTAAATTTTAAAAAAAAGGCTATCAATGTCTTTGACAACAATTGGACATTACGTCACACCTCTGGAGAAGGTGTAGCGTGAACACCAGGCTTCTGGTTCAGAGGTAGAGACACTACCACTGCACCACCAGAGCCCTTGGCAATGCCCATATGCTGTGAACGTATACTTCGTGTAAGAAGCCTGAACTGATAAAAATTCCAACCCTGATTGTTGTATCTGGAAGTTTCAACATATGACCCTGTATTTCCAAGTGCCATTGATACCTACCCAAACACGAGTGGGCCTGTGTCCCATTATGTGAACATATGAACAAGAGTAGGCCATTCTACCCTTCAAGCCTACACCACCGTTCAATAGGATCGTAGCTGATCTGATTGTAACCCCAACTTCACATTCCTGCATACCTCCAACCATCAAGAATCAATATAACTCTGCCTTAAAAATATTTTAAAATTCTGCACCCACTCCCTTTTGGGGAATGGAGTTCCAAAAACTTGCAATTCGAAATGCTAACTCTGCTTTCTGTCCGCAGATGCTGCCTCACCTGCTGAGTTTTCCCAGCAATTTCATTTTACAGAGCGATATTGATAGGTTAAATAAGTGGGCAAAACGTTGGTAAATGGCGTATAATGTGGGGAAAATGTGAAGGTGTCCATTTCAGAAGGGAGAACAAAAGAATTGAGAAAAATTGCAGAAAGCTGCAACACAAAGGGACTTGGGGGTGACTTATGCATGAAACTCCAGAAGCTAGCACACAGGGGCAGCAGGTAATCAGGAAGGCTAATGGAATGTTGCCCCTTACTTCAAGGGAGTTGGACTATACGAGTGGCGAAGTCTTACTGCAATTGTACGAGGTGCTGGTGAGACTACCTCTGGAGTACTGTGAGCAGTTTTGGTCCCATTATTTTAAGGAAAGATATTTTGTTGGAGACGATTCGGAGAAGATTCACTCGGATGATCCCTGATTGGGAGGGATTGTCTTCTGAACAAAGGTTAAACAGGTTGGGACTCTACTCACTGGAGTTTGGAAGAATGAGAGGTGATCTCATTGAGACAATGGATTCTTAAGGGGCTGCATAGGGTAAATGCTGAGAGGATCTTTTCCCCCCATGGGAGAACCTAGGACCAGAGGGCATAGTCTCAGAATAAAGGGGTACCAATTTAAGACTGAGATGAGGAGGAATTTCCTTTCAGAGGGTTGTGAGTCTTTGCAATTCCTTGTCACAGAGAGCAGTAGGGTTAGTGTCCTTGTGTATATATTTAAAGCTGAAATAGATTCTTGATCAGTGGAAAATCAAGGGTTCCGTGGACATGATGATGTCAGATCAACCATGATCCAATTGAATGACAGAACAAGCTCCAGGGGCTGAATGGCCTACTCTTTTTCCTATTTGTTATGGCGTTAAGAGCAGATACCTGGAAGTGAGTTACAAACTGGAATCTAATTGAGGGGTACAGAGCATTTATATTTCGATGTCTACAGGAGTCGTTATGCAAGTATTTAAGGTACGGGGGTTTTCTGTGATGAGGCATGAGCAAATGGTGGTCATTTAACTATTTGTAACATTAGCAGAGGTGAGCTAATGTCTCAGCTTTGAAATTGCATCCCATTGCTGAAAATAAATCACCTTTTAACCACGTTGTCTAAACATATGTACATTCACAAGGCGAGGGTTCAGTTAACAGCCCAAGCCACTGTTTCACAGACTGGGGAGGCTTTAAGGCCGTGTTGTTACAGTCATGGAGTCGTACAGCACAGAAACAAACCCTTCCGTCAACCAGTCCATGCTGACCATAACCCCAAACTAAACTAATCCCACCCACCTGCGCTTGGCCCCTATCCCGCTTATTCTTATTCATGAGCTTATCCAAATGCCTTTTAAAAATTGTAGCTGTACCCACATCCACCACTTCATTCCACACAAACCACTCTGTGTTCTAAAAAGAAGTTTACCCCTCATGCCTTTTTTAAATCTTTCTCCTCTCCCCTCACAAAATGTGCCTCTAGTCTTGAAATCCCCATCCTAGGGAAAAGACACCTGCCATTCACTTTATCTTATACCCCTTATGATTTTATAAACCTCTATAAGGTCACCCTCCACCTCCTATGCTCCAATGGAGAAAAAAAAAGTCCCAGCATATCCAGCTTCTCGTTCTAACTCAAACCTTCCATTCCCGTGCTGGTAAATCTTTTCTGAACCCTCTCCAGCTTAACAATATCCTTCTTACAACAGGTTACTCAAAAGATTCATTTTTACTGAGATGGCAGTTTGTTCATGATGACAAGGGGAAACTAATTGTAAGGTTTTGGGGAAAAGTGCAGGGGGAGTGGGACTAATTTGATAACTCCTTCAAAGACCTGGCACAGGCACAATGGGATGAATGGCCAGCCTTTATGGTGTGTGATTCTGCAACAGCTTTCTTCAAACTTAGCTCCAGTGACCTTTCTGTCGTTTACAACTTGTGTCTGTCTTGCCTCCGAATTAGAAGGTTGCACGTTCAACAACTTCCAGTCCCAAGGGCTTCAGCACAATAATCCATGATCTTATTGAATGGCAGAGGAGGTCTGAATGGCCTACTGCTCCTCCTATTTTGTATGTTGATGTGTAAATTGTAAGGAGAAACTTCAAGAAGACGAAGAGAAGTAAAAATAGAGTTGGAGGGGTTGGGGCTTGCTGCTGGGAACCTCTGGAGTATACAGCTATCTGTCATGTGTGAAAAGGAATGGATTTGGAGGAACTCTGGGATCTCGGAGGGATCCAGCCACTACAGGGTTCTAATATCTAAGCTTGCTATTGGACCTAGCCTACTTCTCAATTCACCTTCTGTCTTCACCTAATATTTTCACCTTTTGTTCTTGCATCGCCATTGTGAGCCTTGGCCATTCACGGGTTCTAAAGATGACCCTGCAATGTAAATGTGGTCAGCCCGTGTTTCCTGTTTATTTATCACCGAATACGTTTTTTTTCTTGCTTGACAGGTGCTGGCTACTTGAATACCCACATCTCACCAGGGATGCTGGTCTCCCCTGGTAACCTTAACAGAACCATGGCAACAAGGTCCCCGACGCCTGTGAACCTTGGGCCTGACAACCGCAGAAGTGAAATGCACACAGTCTCAACTGGCTCCAGGAACATGGTTGCTTCACTGGTGAGAGTTTACTTTGGATTGGTTAGCCACTTGTTGCTACATTTCAAAGTTACAGAAATTATAGTCATACAGCACAGAAACAGGCCCTTCACCCCAACTCGTCCATGCTGACAAGGTTTCCTGAACTGAGCTACTCCCATTTGCCTGTGTTTGGCCAATATCCCTCCAAACCTTTCCTATCCATGAACCTATCCACACCCAAATGCCTTTTAACTGTTGTAATTGTACCCACCTCTACCACCTCTGCTGGCAGCTTGTTCCACTTATGCACCACCCTCTATGTGAAAAAGTTGCCCATCAGATCCTTTCCTTAAATCTTTCCTTTCTCACCTTAAATTTATGACCTCTAGTTTTGGACTCTTCTACTCTGGGGAAAAGACCTTGGCTATTCACCTTCTCTAGGCCCCTCATACAGTATTTTAAAAATCTCTAAAAGGTCACCCGTTAGGCTCCTACACTCTAGGGGAAATAAGTCCCAGCCTCTCCTTTATAACTCAAAGCGTTCAGTCTCGGTAGCATCCTTCACAATCTTTCTTTGCACCCTTTCCAGTTTAATAACATCCTTCCTATAGCAGAGCAACCAGAATTGTATACAGTACTCCAAATTTGGCCTTACTAATGTCCTGTACAGCTGTAACATGACGTCCCAACTCCTGTACTCAATGCTCTGACCGATGAAAGCAAGTGTGCCAAATGCTGCTTTCACCATCCTGTCTACTTGTGACACCATTTCAAGAAACTATGTACCTACACCCCTAGGTCTCTCTTTTCAACAACACTCTCCAGGGCTCTAACATTAACTGTGTGAGTCCTGTCCTGGGGAGTGTTGTTGATGAGGAAGAGAGAGCATTACACTGGATCTATTGCATGGTACACAGGCATAGAAACAAAACAGTCAGGCTGCATCCATGGAGAGAGAAACAGAGCCAACGTTTCAGTGTGATCACCTCTCTCCAGACTTGGTAAAAATGAGAAACTTAACAATTTACAAACAAAATGCAGAGTGGGGGAACAGTTAGTGATAGGGTGGAGGATAGCAGTTACATCTGACCTGGAAGCTTTTGATGTCAGATTTCAGAATATTTCTCTCTCGCTTGTGTAGAAAATAAATGTTGTGGCTTTTAAAGAATTTAATGTGCTAGTTTTAACTTTTATTAATAATTCTCTCACCAGAGAACGAATACATCAGCTCTACAGCCCACCTCACCGATGGTTACCATGGCAACTCCCAATCTACCTGGCCATGGATTAGGGAGTTACTCTTCTGCACTGACTGGTAGGTACATTTGCTGCACTTTTTGTTCATCCATGGGACGTGTGTGTCACTGGCTGGGTCAACATTTATTGCCTGTCCCTAGTTGCCCCTTGAGAAGGTGGTACTGAGCTGTTTCTTGAACTGATGTCGTCCATGTGATGCAACACAATGCTGATAGGAAGAGAATTGCAGGATGTTGGCCATGCAACACTGAAGGAATGGTAATATACTTCTAATGAATGTTGATTAAGTGTGCTTTTAGGCTATTCTTAGGATTATTTATTCCCTATATGCAGACAGTAAGGATGATTAATGAAACGCCTCTAAGCTTTAGCAGGTCACTTCTTCTGTCTGTAGATATTTTTAATCATGCTGTTCAGGGATCTTATGTCACACCTCTGGAGCAGGTAGGACTTGGATCTTGGCCTCCTGACCCCCAGAGGTAGGGACTGTGCCACTGTGCCACTGTGCCACACTGCCACACTGCCACACTAACTCTGTGCTGAGAGAGCAGAGGCTCTGTGATTTGATTGTCCAAGATCTACATTGAGATGACTGATCTCAGGTAGGACCAACAATAAGGTGCTAGAACTTTTTGGTAACAAATTTCTGAGTTAAACTGCTGACAGCACCCCTTGTGGGATCTTGTGTGAGAAAGGTAAGGAATGAGAGGGAGGAAACTAGAGGGAATGGCCCATTGTTTGTTCAGTTCAGTTAGCAGCATGCTGACCTCTGAGTCAGAATATTGAAAGCCCACTCCTTAACCTGAGGATGTATTCTGGGCTGATGTTCCCACTGGCAGCACCAAGACAGTGCTGCAGTATCAGAGGTACGGTCTTTCAGGCAAGTTGTTAAACCAAGGCCCCACCTATCTCCTCAGGTGAGCAGAAAAATATCGTGACACTTTTTAAACTAGAAGTAAGGGGGAAGTAAAGCTGCCTCAACACTATCCCTATCAAATGCTCCCAGGCATGTACAGCACAGAGACACAGAGTAAAGTTACTTCTATTGTTTTAAACTGAGAGTAATGCTCTTTTTAATCTTTTCAACTGAAAGCAAAGCTCCCTAGATACTGTCGCCATCAAATGGTCCCAGGACAGGGACAGCACCGGGATCAGATATGGAGTGCAGCTCCCTCTGTTCTTTTAAATTTAAAAGTAAATGGAAAGTAACAAAGCAAAAACAGAAGTTGCTGGAAAAGCTCAGCAGGTCTGGCAGCATCTGTGAAGAAAAGATCAGTTGGCGTTTCAGGTCCGGTGACCCTTCCTTGTAAACCTTTCTAGACACTGTCAAATCAAACACACCGTAGACAGAAACCGCACAGGGTTAGAAACGGAGTAAAGCTCTCTCTATACTGTACCCATCAAACACACCCAGGACAGAGGCAGCATGGGGTTAGATATAGACCAAAGCTTCCTCTACAATATACCCACAACTGAGCTCTAAATTGAGAATACTTGCCTCTGGGGCCGGTTGTATGATTGTTCTTACTTCATCACCGATCCATCCTGCCTCACTAGAAATGAGGCAGCCAATTTGGGCACGTCAAAATCCCACAAAAGTATAATCTGTCACATGTCCTAATTGTCGATTCATTCCAGCTTGTGTGTTCTTTAATAGTGTGAACCTTGTGCTAGGACCAAGGGTGAATGCATGAAAATCATCAGGTATTGGACCCTTACAGCCAGACCATAGCAAAAGCTTCTTCTTGTCATTCTCATCTGAAATAGAGCCTTCTGATGTGAATGTAATGTCGCTGTTGCTGCTCACACACTCATACTGGTCTATAATTAGCTTCCCAGAGACCAGAAAACACAGCTATAAGAGTTCCTTTGTGGCTACCTTTACTCTATGATGCTTTGAAACCTAGGTCTAAGAGGTGAGATTATTGTCTCCAGACTATAATGTTAACGACTGTTGGGTTCACTGTTAAGTGAATGATGTTCCTCGACTGATCAAGGATGGCTAGTTGCTTCTTGCTGCCACCTCGTGGTTGAATGTGGTTAAGGCAACAGATGCCCTTTGGAAAAGGAGTTCATCATACTATCCCTTGAACTTCCTCTGCCATTCAGTGAATCAGTATAAATCCTCAGCTTCTGCTGTACTTTCCCACGCCGTCCTGACATTCCTTGTTTCCATTCGTGTCCAGGAACCTATCAAACTTGATCTTGGACTCGCTCAAAGTCTAAGCATCTGCGACCCTCTGGGGTAGAGAATTTCAGACTGGGTGCTCTGAGTGAAAGGATTTTTTTTTCCCCATCACAAAATATAACAGGGGAAGGATGTCACTGAGTGACAGCAGGGTTTTCTGAAGGGGGAGGGTGAACAGCCTGATGTCAAAGTCCCATATTGGAACCAACGACATGGTCTTTAATCAAGAGAAATTAGGTCCTGTAAGCAGACGTTAGGGAGGAAATTGCAAGGCAGGACTTAAACGGTAGTAATCTGTGGACTATTCCCAGCGCCACGCGGTAGTGAGTACGGGAATAGAGAGAGAAAAGCACGGCTGAAGAGTTGGTGCAGGAGGGAGCCTGTAGATTCCTTGCAATGGGATCATTTCTGGGCGAGCTGGGAACTGTACAGGTTGGACAGGTTACCTCTGAACAGGAATGGGACCAACATCCTTATGAGGTGGTTTACTAAGCTGTTGGGGAAGATTTAATTTAGATTGGTCGGGAATGGGATCCAGACTAGTGGCTCAGAGGAGAGAGAAGCCAAGATGGAATTAGATGTTAAAACGCGAGTAAGTGAATCTGAAAGACTGAGGAAACATAGGCTAGATAAGAAAGAAGCTGGTTTCACAAGGCCTGAGGAATAAGACAGATGAGCTGAGAGCACAGTTAGACACAAAGGCGTACAAGATCATAGCTATGACTAAGACTTGGCTGAAGATGGGCAGGATTGACAGCTCAGCATTTCTGGTTATAGGGTATACAGATGAGATAGAGAGGGGTCTAGATGAGGAGGGGAACTGCAATATTGATCAAGAGGTCAGTTATACAATTAATGATATTATGGAAGGGTCATCAAATGGAGAAGTGGAAAAACATAAAAGGTGCAAACACTGACCCCAAAATAAAGGAGTTGCATCTATATAATGCCTTTCACAGCCCTAGATTTCACAGCCAATGAAGTATATTTTTCAATGCGGTCACTATTATAATCTGAGGACACGTGTTAGCTGATTTTTGCAAAGCAAGATCCCACTATGAAATAGTAGCTGGATCATCTGTTTGTTTTCTTGCTTGTTGAGCAATAAATATTGACAAGTCAGCATGAAGAGGTCCCTGATCTCAGAAACATAGAAACTAGGAGCAGGAGCAGGCCATTCGGCCCTTCGAGCCTGTTCCGCCATTCATTATGATCAGGGCTGATCCCTGTCTCAATCCTCAATTTTCTTTCAGTACTGGCCATTGGACCTTTTACATCCACCTGAAAGGGCAATAGGTATCTCTGGTAAACATGTCGTGTGAAAGCCGACACCTCAGACAGTGCAGCACTCCTTCAGTACCTGCACTGGGAGATGGGGGGGTGGCGTCAGCACCACTGTCTGTGGTGGATCTTGAACCTTTGGTATTCTCACTCAAATACAGGAGAAGCACTGACTGAACCTGGGCTGATACTGATTCAATTAATAGAATCTCATAATCAAGCAGGAGGTCATTCAGCCCTTTTTGTCTGTGCTAGCACTTTGACAGAGGCAGTCAATGAGTCCTATCCCTTTTCCCTTTCTCCATTGCTGTACACGTCTTTCTTTATCAAGTGTTTCCCTTTCAAAAGGTTCCTATTGAATCTCCTCCTCCAGACACGTTCCACCTTTTTGAAAGTTCTTCCGACCTTAACTTCATTCTTGTTTAATTAAATGTCACTTTTTTTTCCTGTTCCCTGTTAACCTGCAGGTTACACACTTAACGACAACGCCTCTGTCTCTGCGTACAACTCACCAGGTGGTACCCATCAGGAGCAGACTGCTATTTGGCCACTGCGGCAGCACCAACATCACCAGCCGCACCAGGCTGATCTTCAGTCTTCAGCACACTCCCATCTGGGGTAAGTCAGACACATCCTCTTGACTGCCTGTAGGCACGCAGCACTGTGTACATCCATGATCCAGAGGTGGACAGGTACCTGCCTGAGAACTTACTTCAAAAAGCCTGGTTTTGTAGCAGACAGCAACTAAACAAGTAATGGAGCATTGTGTTCAGTTCTGGGCACCTTATTTAGGGAAGGACATTAAAGCCCTGGAGACAGTTCAAAGGAGATTTACCAGAATGATATTAGGAATGAGGGATTCTAGAAAAAAGGAAAGGTTAGAGAAATTGGGCTTGTGCTTCTTGGAGCAGAGAAGATTAAAACGTGAACTTATTGAGGTGTTTAAAATTGTGAACGAATTTGACAGGGTAAAAAAGGATTTTCTGTTTCCACTAGTTGATATGTCATTAACTAGGGGTCACAATTTCAAGATTGTCCGCAAGGCAGCTATGAGTGAGATGAGGAGAAACTTGTTTACTTTGAGTAGTTAGGATTTGGAATGCGTGGCCTGGGAGAATGGCGGAGGCAGATTCTATGGGAGGTTTCAAAAGAGAGCTGGATATATATTTGAAAGGGATGAAGTTAGAGGGTATGGAGATGGACTAGAGAATGGGACTAGCTGGGTAGCTCTTTCAGGAGCTAGTGCAGACACAATGAGTCAAATGGCCTCCTTCTGTACTGTAAAATTCTATGATTGTTGGCTTATTCATAAGGAACCTCCACAAATTGTTACAAATACATATCATTATGAAATCTACAGTATCGGCTCCCAATAATATTTTTTTCATTTATTCACGGGATGTGGGCTTCACTGTCTGGGCCAGCATTAATTGCCCATTTCTACTTGCCCCATGCATTTATCTCCGTTGACCTTTTTAGAGGGTAAATTCTTCAGCAATTTGCATTGAAGGGTAGTTGCAGAACCCCAATTGTGTGTGTGTCCTGTGATGTTCAGGTGAGATTGCCAGGAGAATTGTCCTGAGCACCAGCTGAAGCTATAATCGCATTTTATCAGTTCCCAGACCTGGTAAATGCTACTTTGATTTTTAACATGAAACTATCAGGGCTTGAGTGAAAGCATTGTTACATTTACCTTCTGCTTTTGGCACCTCAATAAGGCTGAACTTGAAAATTGTGCATCGAACACATCTGACCCACCGATAATCACACTGCATTCACTATCATCACCTACAATCTGTGTGGTCATGGTCCTGTAACCCAGCACTTGCCAAGCCAGTCCCTGCTGTGACCCTATGCTCAGGCTTGAAAATCGTCATGACCCCTCAGTAAGAACTGAGGGGGTGGGGGTCTGTTACAGCAGGAGCACAGTTGTTATAACTCAGTCAGAACCTGATGAAAGACCTTGCTGCCTTGGAGCTAGCCCACCCCTCCTCTTCCCCCAGCTTTTCACTCATGACTATTTACTTGGGGACTTGGGGTCCCAACCCCCACTTTAAGCAGCTCAGCCTTTAAGGTTATAACTTAAAATCAGACAATCTAATAAACATAACTATGTTTAGCTTTCTGCGAAACTTGGAAAGTTATGTGTGATCAAGCATTAATATTAAGATGCTTTTCTGGTAGAAAGGAGAGCAGATCATTTTTGGTTAATTGTCCCAATTCCTCTCATGGTGACAGCTTGCAAAAGGTGCTTCACAATAGATATAAGCAGTAGGTAAGCTCTAGGCTGAGGCTGCAAACAAATAATGAGGACTATTACAACAACATCTAGAAAAGATTCATATTTTGGCTGTTTGAACAAGAGCTGAAAAGCTACAGAGATCTCGTTAAAAGTGTAACATTCGGTGTCTAAAAACTGGGGTCGACCTGGCTATAAGGGAAGGCAGTGGTGCAGTGTTATTGTGACTGGGCTGGTAATCCAGAAGGAAAACAAAAAACTGCAGAGGCTGGAAATCTGAAACAAAAGCAGAAATTGCTGGAGAAGCTCAGAAGGTCTGGCAGCATTTGTGAAGAGAGAAACAGATTTGACACATTGAGTCCAGTGACCCTTCTTCAGAACTTCTTTCTCCAACGATTTGTGTTTTTGTTAGTAATCCACAAAACTCAGCCGCAAATGTTCTGGGGATATGGGTTCGAGTCCCACCGAGGGCAGAGGATGACATTTAAATTTGATAAAGAAAATTTGGAATTTAAATGGTTTTATTTTACAGTTCATTAAAATAAATTTAATACTTATATATTAAATAGCTGGAATTTAAAAGATAGCTTAATTACGACTGTGTAAACACTGTTGCTTGCTGTAAAAACCTGGGTCACTAATGTCCTTCAGGAAGGAAAACTGCCATCCTTACCTGGTCTGGCCTACAAGTGTGGGGATTTAAAGACTAGGGGTCATGTTTTGAAAGTGAGAAGAGAAAGATTTTAAAAAGATATGAGGGGCAGTTTTTTTTTACATAGTGGTTCGTGTGTGGAATGAACTTCCAGAGAAAGGCACAGTCAGTGTTTAAAAGACATTTAGATAAGTACACGAATAAGAAACGTTTGGAGGGATATGGGCCAAGTGCAAGCAGATGGGACTAGTTTAGTTTGGGATTATGGTCGGCGTGGACTGGTTGGACCAAAGGGTCTGTTTCCGTGCTTTATGACTCTAAGTGACTTCAGGCCCTGAACATTGCATTGGTGCACATCTGTGCTCTGAACTGGTCGAGTTAGCCATTCAACGCATGGGCAATAAATGCTGGCCTTGCTAGCGATGCCCAGATCCCATTAACTGTTTAAAAAAAAAAAAAATTGTGGATGATAAATGTCACAGAGCGGCTGACGTGCGGGGATAGGGATGACAGATGAGCAAGTTATTGTGAACACAGGTCTCCCGTCAGGAGAAGCTACAACCAGCACCAGCAGTCACATTGACTAGGCGTGTATCCCCTTGAGTAGCGAAGATTTAAGATGTTTAAAGAAGTGAATAGGGTCAATAGAGAGAAATTATTTCCCGTGAGAAGGGTTCTCAGAACAAGACGAGAGCTGTAATGAGAGCCAGGCCTTTCAAAAACAGACCCACACAAGTGTTCTAGAAATCTGAAACCCTCTACCCCAAAGGTTGTTGGAGCTCAATAGAAATATCAAAACTTAGGAGATTAATCCCCTCCCAGATAAAATTGTATAAATGGGGTTATGGAAGTAAGAATGAGTGGATAGAGTTAACTTGTATGTCAACCACACCCTAATCTTTCTTCGCCTTTCTCTCTCTCTCTCTTTCTCAACCCTAATAGGGTTATTGGTAACTCTCACCTGAGCCAAAGCTCCAACCTGGCCTTGCCCACCTTTCAAGCAGTGAGCGTCAAATCGGAACGCGCCTCCCCCCACAGCGATGCCGGAGGTGGAGGGGGTGGGGGCAGTGCCAGTGGAATGTTCCAGCACCACGAGGGACGCTTGGGGCTTAGTGGGCTGGATAGCCCCTGTGAGGAGCCCAAGGATTACGCCAAGGGTTACCAGTGCCCCATTGTGTTGACCAGGCCTCCAGCCAGAGACGAGGACAGCCTCGGGGCCAAGCGAATGCGCCTTGTGGACAGCTGGCAGAGATGACTTCCTGTGGTTACGCCATTTTAATGAGAAACTGATGGAGGCAGCTCCTGGATCTCGCTTTTGTATTTTGTTTTTTGCAGTTATTCCTGCGCTCTTAATCACAGGGGCCAGGAATTAATTCATGTTGAATCTGTTAACCCTTTGAGAACCACTTGTCACCTTGTTTGGGGGCGGGGGGGAAGAGGAACAGGAAAAGAGGCTTGTTCCTCCCCTCCCCCTCCCCTGCTTCTCTCTCCCCAGAAGCCAGGCTGGTTTGAGGCCTTCACTCAGGCTTCTGTCATTGTGTGTCTACAGGTTGTTTTGTTTTAAATTCCTTCTCCTGCTCTTCCTCTTTCAGTTCTGCAGAAACCCTGGGTAGATGTGTGCTCTGCGCCTTCCTCCTGTTTGTGTGGTGATTCCCATTTGCCCCATGAAAAGTCCTGAGCTCAGTTCCTGCCTGAAGGAGGACGGGAGACCCAGACAGGACAGGATAGGGCAAGCACTGAGTGTGCGCAGTTAGCCTGGATGCTGGGCGCCCTGCTATGTGCAACCGAAGTGGTCACCCCTCACCTGTATAATGGCAGGCTGCTCGGCTCTAAGTGGCATCACAGTCATGCACACTCCTTTTTCCTTCTGTCATGGGATATGGGTGTCACTGGCTGGCCAGCATTTATTGCCCATCCCTAGTTGCCCTTGAGAAGGTGGTGGTGAGCTGCCTCCTTGAACCACTACAGCCCATGTGCTGTAGGTTGACCCACAATGCCTTTTTAGGGAGGGAATTCCAGGATTTTGACCCAGAGAGACTGAAAAAATGTTAATATATTTCCACATCAGGATGGTGAGTAGTTCAGAGTGAAACTTGAATGTGGTATTGTATGTGCTGCCCTTATCCTGTTGGATGGTAAAAGGTAATGGGGTTTGGAAGGTGCTGTTGGAGGAACTTTGGTCAATGAATTGTTTCTGCACTTTCACTGATCTCTATCCACATACGTACAGTGGATAGTGAACAATAATCTGGAGCAAGGACATAGGCTCAAAGCTTCCATTCTTTGCCCTGTAAAGTTGTGAGGTGGAAGGTAGTGTCCCAGCTAACAGTATGTGGATTATTGCGTTCAGAAATCATGGCTGGAAAGGATGCATTTTTATCACCAAACAATGTAAGTCACCCACAGCCCAGCAAAGATCAGGAAGTTATTTTTGCCTGCCTCACATTGGCTTGTTTTGTACCAAGGGAAAGCATTAACCTGGGCAAGATTGACGGTGCTATGGTGTCTGGCTGTTTAGAGAGGAGTTGAGGGGAGACAAGGAAATGCAATTGAACGTAGATGCCATTGAATGGATGTTGTCCATTCCTAACAAATCATTGTCAATCCTTCACCCAGCAGACATGTCTCCTATTGACAAGGGAAGGTAGGGATTAATTGAACCAAGTTACTGGGTGGGAATCCTAATGGATTTGGGGCTTTGTACCTGTTTTGATATTGTTCCTCACTGACTTCAACGGAGAGTCAAATTGGGTAGGATGTGAAAACACTGTTACAGTTGATCCTGTCAGGCCATGTGGATTAAAATGGCCTTTGGTTAGATATAAATATGGCGTGTTCTGTCATTTGTTACATAATAAGGGGTTGGCTTGCTCAGTTGGCTAAACTGCTGGTTAGTGATGCCAACAACATCAGTTCAGTTCCTGCAGCAGCTGAGGTCACCACGAAGGACTCTCCTTCTTGACCTCTCCCCTCGCCTGAGGTGTGGTGACCCTCAGGTTGAACCACCACCCATCATCTCTCTCTAATGAGAGAGCAATCCTATGGTCTAGTAGGACTATAGCAACTCTATTAATCACAGATTGGAAATGGATTTATTAATCACAGATTGGAAATGGACTTCTGTACGTGCCAGGTATCTTAAAATAGAACACAATGACCCAGCTCCATGTTTCCCAGCTTTTCCTGAGTTGCAGTGGGAATGTATCACAGGTTCTCCATGCTCCTGAATATTTGGGTCTTGAAGGGTTAAAATGCCCCTGGTTTCAAATGGGAGACCGTTCCTTTGTTAAATATTGTTCTGTTTTATATTTTAAAAGTGAAGTTTTTTCGCAGTGCGAATAGATTTGTGTCACTTTTTTCTCTGTTGTGTGAGACCTATTTAAAGGTGGGGATTTGGGGTTAAAGGGAAAGTACGTGGCAAACCATGCACTCTGTGCATTCAGAGAGTGCATGCCTGTGTTACTGTTTTGTCACCAGAATGTATTTGTACAAGTGACACAATGCCTTTCTTTAACATGTTTGTGCTCTGTAAACACAAGGCAGCTTATCAGATATAGTTAAGAACAATTCCCTTCATCTCCCCTTTCTCTACTCTTACCTCCCTTGTCCCTCCACTCCCTTCTTTTCCACTCTCCTTCCTCCCCCTCATCTCTCATTTTACTTCCTTTCTCTCTCTGTCTCCTGTTCCTACCTTTTCCCTCTCTTCCCTTTTTCTCCCCCTAACTCCCCTCTGCTCCCTAATAATTAAGAGACAGTTCCTCATCAAGAGCCAGTGCCAATGGTATAAGTGAGAAAGTAATGACTCAGTGAAGCTTACCCTTAGAAATTCTCATCGGTTAACATAAGCATCAAACATGTATTTGTTAGAGGGAAAGTCAGTTTGTTACCAATGACTTGGTACCTTTTAATTGGTAAGGGTTTCAGTTAATTTTTCCAGAATATAAGAAAACTTTAGTAGTCAGACCTTGATTCCCTTTCCCATGATCCCATACTACTGTATCAAACCCATCTTAAAGCTATCTTCAGGACAGCATTGAACATAGATGAAAGTCTTTTGATCTCAGAAAAATAGGATGTTCGTAACTTCACTGAATTGTCCAGCTCTGAATTGGAGATGACATTGGTCAAGGGAAACCATATATTGAAATAAACTGAACAAAAAATTGGCCATTATTGCTGAAAGTTACAGGGCTCTGAGAGACTTCAGTACTTATCATTTTATTTATAATGGGAGTTACTTGAGATATGCTGCAAACTCTGAGCATTGAATTTCAATCTTATTTTTTATATTTGAAGCCTGTCTAAAAGAGCACACTTCTTTTATTTATCTGCAATGTCCTTCATCTGCATTTGGTGTCATCTCAGTCCCTTGATGTTGTTCGTGCTGTCATTCCCTGATAAAATTGATCCATTGGGAAGCTCTCCTAGAACCTTCCCCCATCTTTGGACAATGTGCAAGAGCAAGTTTATGGCCATAGTCAATCTCTCTGTTTGATTTCCAAACTCTCTGTTGCTCCCTCCATCGTTGCTTTTCCAATCAATGATCCTTAAACCTTCCTCTCTTTTTCCTCCTCAGCTCCAAATCTCCTGCCATACCCAGTCTTCCCCTTCTCTGAACCCTCACTGATGAGACAAAGACTCATCATGAAGTCACAGAATCAAATCCTTCTTCAAAACAGTAATGCCTTACATATCTCCCAGTTTTCCTCTCATCTGTCCATAGACTCGCAAGCTTGCAGTCATCTAACCATTGTTCTTGGTTTGCTTCATCTTGACCTATGTGCTACTCGTTAATAAATTGAACCAGGAATTCATGAGAATCTTCTTTACCCCAGACAGTGGCAAGAATGTGGAACTTGCTCTCACAAATAGAGGTGAATAGCATTAGGTGATCGCTTAATTAAACATGAGCGAGAAAGGAATAGGATGTGGGTTGGGTTAAATGAAGAGAGGGTTCGTGCAGATCATCAACACCAGAATGGACTGGTTGGTCCAAATGGCCAGTTTCAGTACCATGAATGCTTCTGAATCTTATTGGTGCCCTACCATTGAGAATCTTCACCCTGGATTCCCAATTTTGAAAATTAAACATTGTGAAAACCATAAATCGATTGTAATGAAAGAAATCCTCAGATTTGGTTCCTGTAATTGAGGGCTGACTTGCCTGAAGAGAGAAACTGTAGATTCTTGATCCTGATGATTAGTCCACAGGGGAAGAGTGCAATAAGACACAGGTTGCAACACAGCATTGGGTGCGATGGATCCTTGATTGTGACAGAGATTGATTGTAATAAAGCTTTGGTTGCAAGGGAAAGTGAAGCAGTTGGTGCAACAAGGCACTGATGGATTGTGATGGGACATGAGCCCAATGCCATTCCAAGGACACTGATTGTGAAGGAGCTTCAGTATGGTAGGAAGGGTTATGTCCTACAGAAGTTGTTACAGGTGATTTCCCAGTCAGTGGGAAGGAGCAACAGGCATTTTCCCTGCAATGAAGTATACATGTTGCCTGTGCCACTGATTGGAACATATTGTTAGGCTATGAGAGATGTCAAAGTAAACAGGGGCTGGCTGGAGGTTTAGTCAGACATATACCTGGAGATTTAATCGTATGGTCTTTCAACACCAAACATCCCACCCAGTTCTGAGGAAGGGTCACTGGACCCGAAACGTTAACTCTGTTTTCTCCTCCACGGATGCTGCCAGACCTGCTGAGCTTTTCCAGCAACTTTGTTTTTGTCCCACCCAGTTACGTAGTCTTGTTTTTCAACTCCAATTTTTTATTACTAATGAACAAGCATTTTTAAAAATTGTGTGTTTTTATATTACTGTATTTATTTTAGTTCCTGCTGTAATTAAGCTTCCAGGTTTTGCTCGCAGTAGTGTCCAGGAGATTGTCCTCTTATTCCTGGTGATTCCAGGCCAATCCTGGAGAGTTGGCATCAGCTGATACATTATGACACATGCAACTCTGTAATAGTTGATGACCATCAGCCTGCACCAGCCTTTAATGGATTGAAGGGTTAGGACACATCCCAGCACAATACAGAGCCATCCCAGGGAGTGTTTGATTGGTTTGGTTGAACGTGAGACAGGTCACTATCCTCACAGCCATGAGTTGTCTTTAATTTCTAGAATAAAGCCCAACTAATTAGGTCTTGTTTTTAAAGCTACAATGAGTAGCTGTCACTCCTACTGGTCTAAACTTGCCACCTTTTGGGGCGAAGTGGGTTGTCATTATGTGACATCATTTACAAGATCCTTTCAGATGTCACAAGCATTGATCCATTTTATCACAGACAGACATCCATTCTGCTCTCTCTCTCTCTCCCTCTCTTTCTCTCTTTGTTTTACAGTGCGCAGTGACTTGGTTTAGCCAACACTACCTAGTAACTCGAGCTTACAAGCTTGGTGGGGGAGCAGGGGGCACAGGGAGGGAGTAGTGCTACAGGTTGGTGGGGAGAGTGTCAGGCACAAGGAGAGAATGTGTGACGGTTCTGGGGGACAGGATGACGGACCGTGAAGAGAGGTTGTCTCCTCGGTGCTTAATGTGTGATGGGCTGTGGGAGAACAGAGCAAAAGATGTTGCACTAAAAATTGGGGACCATGCAACATTTGAATGTACACAACATGGGAGAGTGAGGTGTATCTATGCTGGAAATGAGAGGATCGGAGAATCACGAATGTAATTCCGAGGTGATGACCAGTGCTCAGAGAGGGTTAATGGACTGGGGTCTTTTTTTTTCAGTTTACTAACAACCATTAATTTAAAAGGAAAGAAATTGATGCAGAGGAGTCTGTATTACTCATCCTTCACTCCGCCAATAATTTGAATGAAGCAACGGTCTCTCAGGGGTTCTCTCCACACTCAGTGAAGTTGGTTATTCTGCCTGTCCAAAGTTGTGTTCTTTGCTGATGTGCCATTTAAGAATGTTCCAGATCTTACTAGAAATCTCTGCATAATTGGCTTTAGAGATTTCATTTGAATATTGCAGTGTCATCTTTCTTTTCCAACCCTCGACCCGCACAATGGGCTTGTACATAAAGATGGAGGTGAAATTCTCCAGGGAAAAGTGCTGTTGTCTTTTATTAAGTTAACTTAAAAACAAATAAAAGTTCTTATAATTCTTCAACGTATCCCATTGTCATCCTTGAAGCAAAACTGGGCGAGATGGTGGGGGTGGGTGGGAATGGATCACAGAGCCTGACACTTGCAACAAAAGCATAAAACTGCTGGCAATGTTTAAGGAACTTAATTAGCGCCTGGTGAGTGAATCCCAGAATCCCTACAGTGCAGATATAGGTCATTCGGCCCATTGAGTCTGCACCAACCCTCAAAAGCATCCCACCTTATCCCTGTCCGAGTCCTTTTAACCCTCAGCTTCCTGATGGCAAGAGGACAGGTTTGAGTTGGTCACCAATGCCATGCATTCACCTTGAGAACGACAACTGGCATTTATATAGTGTGCTTAACATAGTCAAAACACCATAAGCCAGTTCTACATCATTTGATAAACCTTTGATGCAGCACAACATGGTGAGATATTAAGGTAGATCCTTTTATTCTTTCTTGGGATGTGGGCATTGCTGGCAAGATCAGTATTAGCCCATCCCTATTTGCCCCTTGAACCAAATTAACTGCTAGGCCATTTCAAAGGCAGCAAAGCATCAACTATATGGCTACAGATCTGGAGTCAGGTGTAGGCCAGACTGGGTAAGTACAGCAGATGTCCTTTCCTAAAGGGTCTGAGTGAGCCAGTTAGGTTTTTATAACAATTATTCCTGATGACAAGAGTGTTCACAAATTGGGGACCCATCCTGTATTGGCCTCGGAGTGGGTAGAAGATAGGTTTACAAGAATTATATCTGAATTTCAGAGGTTAAGTTTGGAAGAGCAATTGTATAAATTAGGCTTGTTTCTTCTAGACTTTGAAGGGTTAAGGAATGATCTGCTTGAAGTCTTCAAGATATTAACAGGAAAAGACAGGGTAAATAAACTAAACTATGTCCACTGATTGGGGATTAGGGAGTATAGTCTGAGAATTAAGGCCAGGCCAAGGAAGAGAGATGTTAGGAAACACTTCTACACACAAAGGTTTGTAGATGTTTGTAATCTTCCACAGATGGCAGTGGATGCAGAACAGTTGTAATTTTAAATCTGGGATAGATAAATTGTTATTATTTAAGGTGTTAAAGAATATGGGCGAAAGGCAGGTAAATAGCTTTAGGCCACAGATCAGACACAATCTGATTGAATGGTGGAATAGGCTTGAGGGGCTGAATGGCCTAATTCTGTTTATCTATGTCTTACAGTCACTGGATGAAGTTTTTTTTTATTACATGCAAGATAGACTTGCATTTTGACATCTTTTACTGTTTCAGGATGTACTGAAACATCTTACAGGTGATGAAGTATGGTTGGATGTTTAGGTGCCATTTCAGTATAGTAGATGTGGCAATTGATTTGTCCACAGTAAACTGCAATGTGATGGTGATTGGATAATCTGCTTTATTGGGTGATGATCTTGCTTGATGATCACATATACTCCAGCAAATGGGGAAATCCTCCCCTGCACCTTCATTTCTAGGATCTGACAGGGAGTTGATAGAACACTTAGCTGAAAGATGGCACCTCCAATATTGCAGCACTTCCTCAGCGCTGCACCCTGAAAGCCTATAGTCTGTGCCAAGCCTTTGGAGTGGAACCTGAAGTTATAGCTTTCAGACTCCTAGGCAAGAATGTCAGCCAAAGCTGTCCCTCTGAGTGGTGTCAATGTGTCATACTCACTCACTCACTCACGCTGACTGACCTTTTGATTAATCAGGGACGCTGGGCTATGGTATCTTTAATAATATCTATGAGATGTGAACACCACAAAGTTGTGAATTTGAAAGTAATACATCTGAAACCAAACCGAGTCATCCATAATCTACAGAGATGAAAAACTATCCACTCTTTCTCCCATTTACATTTGGGTGGCATTCCTCTAGGAGCATTTCATTCACAAAGCAGCACCTGGGAATGGACCATTTCAGGTGTCATTGACATCTTTCACACCAGTGGCTTTCCATTTACCCACTACAACCAATTTTGAGGCTTTAACATTGTCATGACTGCTCAGTGAGAACTGAAAATGATGGGTATGGTCGGGCTGAGGATCTGTTAAAGAGGGAGAACAGCTGCTTTAACTCAGTGAGAGCTCCATGGCAGTGTCTGTGCCTCAGAGCCTGTGACCGCAAAATTCTAGTTCACTATCCCACTTGGGATCTGCATTTTGGGAAACCCCATCTTACACATTCCTGGTTTTAGTTGTGACACCATTGGCAAGTGTGCCTCGGGTGACCTGTGGCAGTCCTTCCCATCTTGCTACACTTCGCCTCCTTTAAGGCTCCAGACCTTAACCTTCTGGTCAAAAAGGAGTATGATGGTACTGTTGTGGCAATGGCACTGCAGTAATATTCTCAAGGCCCAGTCCTGGGGACATGGGTTCGATTCCCATCATGGCAGCTGGTGGACCTTTTAAAGATATCAATTACTAAATTTGGATTATAAAACTAGTCTCAGTAATGAACCATTAAACTGCCTTTAATTGTTATAAAAACCTAACTGGCTCACTCAGGCCCTTTAGGAAAGGACATCTGCTGTACTTACCCAGTCTGGCCTACACCTGACTCCAGATCTGTAGCCATATAGTTGATGCTTTGCTGCCTTTGAAATGGCCTAGCAGTTAATTTGGTTCAAGGGGCAAATAGGGATGGGCTAATACTGATCTTGCCAGCAATGCCCACATCCCAAGAAAGAATAAAAGGATCTACCTTAATATCTCACCATGTTGTGCTGCATCAAAGGTTTATCAAATGATGTAGAACTGGCCTATGGTGTTTTGACTATGTCAAGCACACTATATAAATGCCAGTTGTCGTTCTCAAGGTGAATGCATGGCATTGGTGACCAACTCAAACCTGTCCTCTTGCCATCAGGAAGCTGAGGGTTAAAAGGACTCGGACAGGGATAAGGTGGGATGCTTTTTGGAGGGTTGGTGCAGACTCAATGGGCCGAATGACCTATATCTGCACTGTAGGGATTCTGGGATTCACTCACCAGGCGCTAATTAAGCTTAATTTCAAAACACTTACAAACACTCATACTTACGAATGCAATTCCATTTTAAAGATCCGACATACGGCCATTTCCTGTACTCACGAGCGGCCACTTTACGGTATCCTGCATTCTGTTCCGACTTGCCTACAAATCGACTTGCAAACAGACTCAGGAACAGAACTTATTTGCAATCTGGAGACTGTCTGTATAACCCTCATAACGTGCGGTGCCCAGAATAGTCCACAGTACTCCAAGTGGGGTCTAACCTTCCCTTGCACAGAAATTCCCAATAATAGTAAAAGGCCCTGGTGAAAGGCCACCGACTTGAAACGTTAACCAATTCCTCCTTCCAAGAAGCTGCCACATCCGGCTCTGCATTTTCTATTTCTATTTAGTTGCAGATTTCTAGCAAACTTCAGGTCTGTCCCAGTACTGGGGAATGATTGCAATGTGTTTATGACACCACTAGATGTCCTTACACACCATCATTCATATCTCACTTTGGTGAAGCTGCTTTTCAATACATTGAGTTAGTCTTTCGTTCAAAAGAGTTAGGGCTCGAAATCAACACCTTCCGAAATTAAAATTTGCTGAAATTAACATTTTCTGAAATGAACACTACCTGAATTTAATGTATCCTGGAACTCCTGGATAAGTTGACAAAGACCTGATACCTCAAAAACAATACTTCTGTCCTGATTATTCAAAACATTGTCTAACTTTTTAGCTGACCTCTCGAATTTGAGTGCAGGTGCTGGTTAGTGGTATCACTGAGCTGGTAATCCATGAATTCAGGGTGCATGGGTTCAAATCCCACTGGGAGAGATGGAGCAATTTGAATTCAGTAAAAACCTGGCCTAATGCTGATTACATGACCTCTGTCAGCTGTTGTTAAAACCCCAATTTGTTCATTAATGTCCTTTTTTTTCTCATTCATTCACAGGCTGAGGGTATTGCTGACTAGGCCAGCATTTATTGCCCATCCTAACTGGCCCAGAGGGCAGTTAACAGTCAGTCACATTGCTGTGGGTCTGTAGACCAGATGAGTTTCCTTCCTTAGGGGGCATTAGTGAACAAGATGGGATTTTCCAACAATCAACAATGGATTTTAATTCCAGACTTTTTTTTAATTGAATTCAAATTCCAATATCTGCCCAGGTGGGATTTGAACCCTGGTCCCAAGGACATTGCAAAGGTCTTTGGATTAGAACAAAGAACAAAGAAAATTACAGCACAGGAACAGGCCCTTCGGCCCTCCAAGCCTGCGCTGATCCAGATCCTCTATCTAAACCTGTTGCCTATTTTCCAAGGATCTGTATCCCTCTGCTCCCTGCCCATTCATGTATCTGTCTAGATACATCTTAAATGATGTTATCGTGTCCCCCTCTACCACCTCGTTCCAGGCACCCACCACCCTCTGCATAAAGAACTTTCCACGCATATCTCCCTTAAACTTTTCCCCTCTCACCTTGAAATCGTGACCCCTAGTAATTGAGTCCCCCACTCTGGGAAAAAGCTTCTTGCTATCCACCCTGTCTATACCTCTCATGATTTTGTAGACCTCAATCAGGTTCCCCCTCAACCTCCATCTTTCTAATGTAAATAATCCTAATCTACTCAACCTCTCTTCATAGCTAGTGCCCTCCATACCAGTCTAGTGATGATACCACTAGTTATCACCTCCCCTTTAGGGAAGGAAATCTGTCATCTTTACCTGTCCTGGCTTACAGGTGACTCCAGACCTCACAGCAACCTCGTAGAATCTTAACCGCCCTCTCGCCAATGAGGGGTGGGCAATAAATGATGGCCAAACCTATGCTGCCCACATCCCATGAATCATTTTCCAAAAACAAAGCTTCTCGCGTCTCTGTCATCTTTGTGCTACCGGCACGCCCCTGATTTAATGTTATTGATGCAAGGAACATTGATTCAATTGCTAGCCGAACCAACTGGGCAATCTTTCAAAGGCGTCTCCCAAGGCTGGTAGTTGCTGCCATGGTGAGTTGGGCAAGTTAACATACTTCTTAAAATAACA